TTACTATATAAGTGTTTGGTGTTAGTTACTATATAAGTGTTTGGTGTTAGTTACTATATAAGTGTTTGGTGTTAGTTACTAAAATAGAGTACGTTACGTTTTCACTTTTACAGCAAAAAACAATAACGAGAAAGGAGGAACAATGAAAAGTTTCTGGCAAATTGTTAAACCTAAAAGTAAAGGTAGGGAGAGTCTTTATATACATTGCGCCTATTTACAATGTGTGTGGCTTACTTATTAATTAAAATAGTTGTATTTAATTTTCCTTCATGTACGAAGACGCTAAACAAAACGAGTTTTCTACGTTGCAGGTGATAAAAAACAGAGGCCAGCGAGTTGTGTCCACCCACAGATCCCAAGAAGTACATCATTAGGCGAAGTACAGAACCTGTCTGTGAGTAATGGAAACACGGGTACGTGATATCTCAAAGTATTTAAAATGTGATTTATACTACAATTATGTGTAAATATATATAAATAATAATAGTTAGGAAGTTAATAAGTGTATTCATTTATTAAATATATGCGTGTAATCATATCGTAAACATCAACAAGCTCAATTATACTCTAAAGAAATAGGATAAAATCAAGCTATATGTTTACTCAGTTAATTCTTGCAAACAAACATCGCAATATTTCTAGGCGAGACATTGTGATATGCAGTTTCTTATCATTAATAATCCAACCACTCTATTTATTTAGAAATGTGTATTTCAGAGTCCAGTTTTAATATGGGAATACACCGGACACGGTTATCTTTAAGGAGTTGAGTTGAGTTGATTTTATGTGGCAAGTTTCATCCTATTATGCGCCATTTTGTGAAGAACTAGAGCAATGCATTGTGGGTTGGGTACCTCGTGCGGTGCAAATGATGCACGGAGAGCCGCATCTTGACTTGATTTTTGCACTAACATTATTTAATTAAATGCACACAAACACAATATTACCTAGGTTTTTCTTCTAGGTTTGAGTATTGTGAATATTGTAATAGGTTTACGCGCATTGTGTTCATTTAATAAATTAAACAATGTATAATCTATATATTAATTGAAAGATTGTAAATGAGAAGTTTGAAGTATCATGTATATGGATGAAATGAGCAATATATCACATTTTGTTTTGTTTTCACAGCGAGAAACAGAAGAAGTTGGCTTCCTTGGAGATCCTTCGGACGAAGTACGTCATATCAAGAAAATAACAGAGAAGGAGCGTCAGCTGCAAACGGATCATTGTCAGGTAAATCTCACTTCTTGTGACATTGAAATTGACATTGACAGGCTTATTATTTGCTGTTTTTTATTCAGAGTTCGCAATTCCACATTTTAATACTATATTATGAGGTTTGGGTGGAGGTGTTAAACGTCTACTTTTTGTCTAAAGTGGAGCGGGTGCAAGGTTCCACATTTCAAATTTCTATATGTTTACAACATTCAATACTAAGTGAATGACGCGACCCCGTAATGATAAATCCGTCATTTTCTCAGTCCCACCTTCACGGGTTAGTGGGATAACTTTTAGTTCTTTTATGAAATATAGATGTGTGACCAATTAGCACACCCTTAATAGGATGGCCTTAACCCAACATTACCTTTAAAGGGGACCTAAACATCTCCCTAATATTGAAAAAAGAGTTTCTACCAGGGAGCACATATATGTCCTGTTTGTCTCTGTGAATTGTTAGACGTTCCACATCCGTATTCCCCACGGTCTATGAATTAACAATTAACTACACAAAAAATAACAATATCAATTTTACCAGGCCATATAATTCCCTTTTTCGTAACATGTTGTATTTTGTTTATTCAACGGTAGATGACTCCGACGACTACACAGACCTTCTTCCTACACAGTGTGATACTCCACAAAATACAGGTAAGGCAGCCTTTTTTACAACATCCTATGGTATTCAATTTGTGCACATTGTACCGATATATGTCATCAGCTAGATACTGATCATTATAAAATGCCACACACGTTTCCCTATGCATCATTTACAGGAAGGTAGTAATACGAGGAAAGAGTATATAAGCATGTACTGTTAAAATAGTCACAGAGTGAAACCAATTTCGAAGATAAGAAAATAAGACAAAACCGTTGAGGGCGTATATCCACTCAAGAAAAAAACACGACCATATAGAAAAAACTCCCTTGCTGCAATATTCGCATTCATATAAAAAACGTATCATTAGTTGTTTTCACAGCGTACTTCATTTTTAAAACTAACTTATTCATATTTTATTCGTCATTAGAAGACACTGATTGTAGTTTAGTTGACGTCACGTACTGGATGCTGCGGGAAATGGGATGCACTAAGGAAGAAATATTTGCATTTTTTACTGATAAATTGAAGCCGATCTCTCTTCACGGACGAAGCCAAGAAGATTTTGAAATGAAGTACGATAAACATGGTGGCAAAATTGACAAAATACTCGATTGTGTGAAACGGTAGTCATTGTAAATAGAGCGTTTGAGGTTTTATTGTGTATGCATAACTGTTCCAAGCCACTAATTTTTTTTATGAAATTTAAAATCAAACATATAGTGACTAAGCACATTATTTAAAGAACCATGGTACTAAAGCTACTAATTCGAATAAATAAAATGATGAATGACGTACATGGACTAAAACACAAATGATCTATATTGGAAATATTTGACGGAATGACGATACGCGCACCACTGACGTATACAGCGCGTCTAAACATGTAATACTGTGTACCAATTTCGGCTCATTCCCGGATATGCATAACCAGATTTGAACTATTTTGTTTAGTATACGCTGACGGAAAAAAATGTGTGCGCACTACACTACACTACACTACACTACACTACACTACACTACACTACACTACACTACACTACACTGCACTGCACTGCACTGCACTGCACTGCACTGCACTGCACTACACTACACTACACTACACTACACTACACTACACTACACTACACTACACTACACTACACTACACTACACTACACAAAACTACTATTCAGAAGTTACTATTGATTTTCAAAGTATAAATTTCAGTTTAAAAAATATATCTTTCCAAGGTATTTAAGCAGATGAACATTTTATACTTGTAACTTGACGTTAGTTTTTTTTATCTCTAATAACATATATCATATATATCACACTAATCATGTGATCGTGTATTCATCATCATCATTTTTTACTATAAAATTAATTGCATTTTCAGATTTTTTCATAAGAATGTATAACTAACACACAACTACTATATCCCTCATGGAGTCAGTTCCAGTCAGTAGTAGGTGATAATCACATGAATGTAATGACGTCAACTTCTATATGTCACGAGTGCGTATTAACAATTAGTTTGTGACAAAACTGTATCTAAAACACTAGAAAATCGAGACGCATTCTCGCCTGTCAAAGTGTAATATTTCCCGCTAACCTTAAAGGGGAACCGCTCAATCCCATGGATTGCACCAAAGAATCATGGGACACTATTGTTTATGTTGTTTACAATGTTAATCTATCTTTTGTTATCCATTGTTATTTTAATCCAGAAAGTAATTTTTTTTAAAATTAATCTTAACTGCAAGGTGCCCCTTTAACCATCAAGTGACGCAAGAGGACATAATGTTGCGATACTATCGATATATCGATATACATCAGATATTGATCACAATGACGTAGCGAACATGTATACTCATCCAAACTTCAATGATATTTCTTCACATTGCATTACGTATTACGTGTATTATTATAATAATTATTATGAAAATAAACGCTTGAAAGCTATATGTATTTGTTTGTAGTGTAACGCGGTGTTTTGGCATAAAACAAATGGATTTAAAAACAATTTTGTGAAATGAACACGTAGATGTTGTAACGGTCACCAAAGGCAAACCATGAAACAACCATGAATTCTGCTTCGATAATGATAACACTGACAAAACCATATATAGACGAAAACACTTGTCAATAATAGAAGAATCCATTAATACAGATCAACAGCAAACAATAACAAACCTAGCAGACATTGTGTGTATTATAGTATACATCGCTACAAAATCATAAGACTGACAAAATCATTAGTTTGATTCAACTTTAATCGCAAACAAATCAGGCGAAGACGATGTTCAGTGTCTAACTCCGATCAATATCAGTTTGAAAACTATAATTCAAGGTGAATGAATTTTCATGGATGTTGTCACGTGATATGAATGGACAGTATCATAATCCCAATTCATATGGCTCAAATAGTGGCCATTAATCGAAGCGTCATAGCAGTCGTCATCACCGTACCTCCACGCCCCGCCATATCCTCGGTTAACACAATTATCTTCGTGAGAATTATCATTATCTCTATCTCTTGTTGTAAACTCTCTATCTTTGTGGTAATATAAATCATTATCTGCAGTGTCTTCTATAAATTGATCAAAAGTAAGTCTATAATTGTCGTTTTCATTAGTAAGACTGAAATTAGAGTATTTCACGTAATACCACAAACGATCGTCTTCTTTTTGTAGATCAATGTGTAGTTCATACACTCTGTTCAGGTTGTTTGTAATGAAATGTATAGCCTCGTTCCCAAGCCAGAACTCGCCGTTAATATTACGCTTGTAATCCTCCCAATATAGGTCATAATCTTGCGAGTGATCGACACGATGTTGAAAGACGGTCCAACCAATCTGTCCTTCTATTTGGCACTACACTGGGGTTCCATAAGGCAGGCCCTCGGGACGCATTTCATAAACGCCTGTTTCCGTATATCCTGCGCTCACGGCATCTTGGCAATCTGAAAGGAACATGAGGGATGATCAGTTGGAAATATAAATGTAGATTTTTTTTTATTCACAAGCAATGAAAAAGACACGAAAACAGGATTCACCATGAGGACTTCTTCGATATTCTGGATTAGGATTAAGATTGAGATTAAATTTAAATTGGGGTTAAAGTGAAGATTCTGCTTTTTCTGCTTAACAGTTCTAACTATGACATTATTTGCTTTATGTTATAGTCACCATTGTCATAGAATTTTCCATTTAGATTGGCAGTGTGATCATCAGAAAACCACATAGAATACCACCAACCACCAGAATACCTCTTCCCATAGTCAGCGTTGATGACGTCATCGTTATCACTGTCAAAAGTTGAAAACTGAGCCCCATTGCTGATACTCATAGAATCACCAGCAGCGCCACCATAAAATGATAACCACAGTCGGTATCGGTTGAATGCGTCCTCTATACGGAAACCACTGTAAATAGCCTGTGTGCTATTAGCTCTCCAGTCAGTCAGATCAACACGTAACTCATATTGTTTACCATTTCCATTGGTGAGATAAAACAGATTGTCATTTCCTAACCAAAATTCTCCATAAACTTCGCCAAATCCTTCCGAGTACTCTAAAAATGAACGGTTAAAATTCTGTACTCACCCGGCGCTGTATTATAGTCCACCCATTTCCATTCTTCATTTCGCAGTCGACCGGGAAAGCTCTCGAGGCGCCTAGAGGCCAAATCGTGTATACCCCACTGGTAGTATGGCCTGCATCATATACGTCTTGACAGTCTTTAAAAAAAGATACAATAATTTTAGTGTCTTGAAATGTAGTTCTGTTTATTTCTGTGTTTTTTGTATTTGTGTTGAAGTTTTTTCCATTCATGCCCACACATCTATAAACAGTGCGTTGTTCTCAAATAACAGAACGTTATGTCCCCGTGAACGCGGCGTGTTTTCATACTGTATTTGTACACGCTTCGCTCGTGACAATAGACCACAAGAAACAAGACATCACTGGTAAAAATAGACTTTTCACCTTACAAACATCGGGGCAAAGACACAATATCATTGTAAAATGTACTGTTGGCATTGATGTGAGGTTAGTATTATCACATATACCACAGCCCCCCAACAACTCTGCAGATACGAACAATTTGGGGGAAATTACATGTATTATGTAATGACGGTTATAAAACAACTAGCAGCTCCATTGTATGATTACACTGGTAAGTGAAACAGAAAACGTATAAGAGTTACAACAAAAACGTACAAAGAGCTGTATAATGATATGATTGGTATTTGCTATGAATAAGTATACGATCATATCTCACATTAGCTATTATTTATATTAACCTACTAATTATTTTGATTCATGTCTCATTTCCCGTTGCAAAGTGTATAAAGACAATTACTTCATAAAAGCAGTTATAATGCTATGTGTTGCCATTTATGTACTATATATCTAAATATAATTATTTCGAATATGTGTTCAATTATCATATACAAGAAAGACAAAATTTGATATGTCGAAAAAAAAATATTAAAAAATCGGACACAATCTTATCATGCGTTTCGCAATGACTATAGTATCTTGGCAAAACATTGCTTACTAAATAATTTTCGCTTCATAGAATATCTGATTTACCAAATCGTCCAAAATGACGAGAGATTAACACACTGACTCATATTGCTATGATTCGATTTCACAACACCAGGATACAAAACACATTATTATGTTCATAATAATAATTGCTTGATTGGCAAGTAGGAACAAGGCATTTGCGAAGTACAGAGAAAAGATACGTTATGCTGCATGGTACGTTGAAATAACCTTCAAATATATGCGGTAGGCAACGTTTGTAAAGAACTCGGCGATACATACCAACATATCTCTCGTCCTGACCATCGACGTAAATGTAGCAGATGGAAAAAACAAATAACACATATGCCAACATTGGATGCATGCTACTTCTTCACTTCGCTGTATATATTGCAGACTGTCGAGTGAGCTAAATGTAGTCGTATTTGAATAAATATTTATCTAAACTATGCATGTGAATTGACATATTATCGCCGAAATTTTGTTGCGAAATAATATATTGTGTATATAGTGACATTTTATCATTAATTGCGCCTAGATAAATATTGCAGCTGCCATAATCAGATACTCGCATCAGCGGAATTAGATTATATAAACTTACGTCAGCTGTATTTGTAGTATAGAAACCTGGGACATCTTCCCTACACTCATGGTATTTTGGATTTGCCAGCATTGAATACAGATTCAGACGATATGGTTGGCCGTGCAAATTGTCATTGTAATGTAAATTGAATATTTACAAAGAACATGAAAACATAAATAATGTGCTCTAAGTTGCTGTAACAATTTTGTAACGCTTTGGATATATTATGTGGTTTAGAAAACGTGGTTAAGGTTATTGTAAGTTATAAAAGGTACGTAATTGCATTATCAAATGATAAATCTGAATTAGAAGACAGACAGAAACGCAACATTTTAATCCGGGGCTTTGAAGATGTTCAAAATGAAACGTGGGATGAGACGGAAGAAAAAGTGAAATATCTGCTATCAGAAAAACTAGATATTGCTTACGTGGAGTTTGAAAGAGTACATAGAATGGAAATGAGAAGTACTGCTATAAGACCAAAAGTCGCAATGTGCGTGATATTTAAGGACAAGCAGGTACAAATATTTTCCTGGACGATCACGACAAACCAGAGAAATCCATAAACAACTAACTCTTCGAAAAGCAGAAAGAAGTGCGACGGAACAATAAAAAACAAACGTCAATTATAAAAAAAAACTTGTTAGTTATACACGTGGAAGTAAATAAGTGTATGTGTAGTTAAGAAACCAATTCTGTTGTCAGACGAGAGGGTACATACATTATAGTTCAGAAAATCAATATTATGAGTTGGAATGTACAGGGTGTATCAAAACATGTTTTAAATCAATGTTGTATTAAATATTGCACAAAATTTAATATATTCTATATGTTTGAAATCTGACTTAGACAAGACAATGTTGATATCAGTGAATATTTCCCCAAATTTTGTTGAATATTAGAACAAGGCATGAGTGATCAAGGGGAAGACCAAATGGTGGGGTGTCTATTTGAGTGTCAAAAGATATTATGCGCGGTGGGCAGGTGTTGAATACGCATATTAACGATGCAGTTTTTAAACTTACACTTTATTGCCTAACAGTGATGTTTTGTGGAGTTTACGCTCCTTCTACAAAAGTATATTCAAC